CTACCAACTAATGTATATTAGACAAATCTTAAAAAGATTCAATATGATTGTTGCTTATCCATTATTAATACCAATGGTTAGACATGGTCATAATGGTGATGATCTATACCATCCATGTAAGGATGAGGAAGAAATATTGATAGATCAATATCCATACCTTGTAGCAATTCGAACACTTTTGTATTTAGTCACATCTACAAGATTAGATATTACATTTGTAGTTAATATTCTTATAAGATATAAAACATGTCCAATACTATGACATTAGAATAGTATCAAATATTTATTATATTATTTAAAAGATACTAAAGACTTCAAAATATATTACACACAATCTGTAGATCCTAAATTAGTTGGATATTGTGATGCATAATATAAATCTGATATCACAACATCTAAATCTCAAACAAGCTATGTATTTTTAAGACATGGAGCTACAATATCATAGAAAAAAATGAAATAAATTATAATTGCAACTTCATCCAACCATACAAAAATTATTGCTTTACATGAAGTATCTTGAAAATGTATTTGATTGCGATCAATTGATAAATTCATTTAGATAACGTGTGGACTTTCATATGATGATTCTCAAACTATTTTGCATGAAAATAATAGCCTTGTATATACAGATATAAGTTGATTTATTCAAAGGTGATAAGACAAAGCATATTGATTCAAAATATTTTAGTTATCCATAACTTATTTATTAATCAAGCACTTAAAATAAAAATAAAAAATGAATTTACAAATAATCTTGTTGATCTCTTTATCAAAGCTCTTCCTTTGTGCAACCATTGCTAACTTATTTATGGCATTGGCATGAAACAACTTATTTTTCTTGAGTAAGAAAATTAATGAATTCTTTAAATAATTAAAAAAATGATATTGTATTCTTTTTTTTTCATCTATGATTTTTTTCCTTGAATATAATGAGATTTTTTTAGATAAGATTTTAATGAAGCAACAGTTGTTGATCATGCAAGATTACAAAAAAATATAGATCATAATTTTATACAAATTTCATGTTATATAAATATTATGACAAGTAAGAAGGAGTATTGAGAGCATTAAATATAGCCAGTGTACCCCATACTATTTATTGTAATTTACAATAAATATTTTAGCTATAGTGGAAAGAATGTAGTAGAAAGAAAGTATTTACTTTCTCTTCTTTTCTTTGTATATGAAAGATAACCACATCAATATACTCTCTTATATGTGTATTTGTTTTTATGCACATTAATTCTAATTACTCTTGTGTCTTTCCAAACATTCTCAACAATCTGAAATTGGCTCTACTTGTAGAAGTGCTTGGTAGGAATAAAATCCTAAATGCCTTTAAGAAAGAAGCCTCTAGACTTAGAGAGGTCCCTGGTGATATAAAAAATCATTAGCACATGCTTGCTAGTGCAAGCATAAGCTAGAGAATTCTTATTGGCTTTTGGTATGAAAAAGAATAAAATAGAGATTTTAGCAAAACCAAATAGTGAACTTACTCACATATTTGCAACTATAAACTTGTAATTTTAAGTATAATAATTTAGTTCTTAAAAATTTGGTACCAAATCTGGATCTCAATTTTTCCATATCATGATCATCTAGAATAGATGATAAATAGGGATGGATGTTTCTACATTCTCTCTCACTATGAGATTATCTACAAAAAAAAATTGTAAGAACTACAACCATTCTAAGCTCCTTATTTCTAAAACTTGGTAGTTTCTTGTAGATGTTAGTGATTCATCTTTGACAATTTATTTTTGAAAGTAGTAGATTTTTTTATTTTATTTTTTTTGGAGTTTTTTCTCTTTTTTTTCTTTTTTTGTTATTCATAAATTTCTTTCTCCATAATGTTTGTTTTGTGAGATTATTGATGATGAATTTCTTAAATTTTAAGAAGTTATTAGACTTGAGCAATATACATTAGCAATTTACTTTCAAGAGTTTGACAAAGATGATGTTGATAATTGTAAGATCTTGGTATGTTCATCACAAAGAAGTTGTGCTTAAGGTAATGATTTGATGTAGTTATCGGCACTTCCAAGTTTTGCCTTAACCTTGTACGGACTTTCAGAGACCCTTCTACATAAAGTAGTAGTCTTAAAACTGATTTGTAGTTCTACAATTGATGATTAAGTATTATGTCTTCTTCAATCCTTAAGAGTTAAGTCTCAAGCTTGGGAGAAGTAGATAGCTGAATTTAAAAGAGATGCTATAGTAGCTAAGAAAAAAGAAGATGGTGATGTAGTTAAGATTGTGCTTCTTCAATAGAGATAATATTTAATCTTAATCTGAATTTTTTGACTAGGCTATGCCCTAATGATTTGGTAAAGATATCAACTACTTATTCTAAAGAAGACACATAAATTAATTTTATTTCATTTTTTTTTATTTTTTCTCTGGTAAAATGATGATATGTGGCTATATATTTTGTATATGGATTGATATCTAGATTTGTTGTTATTTTGATAGTTCCTTCATTGTTACAAAATATAAAGATTGATTTTAAAATCTTTGAGATAAAATGACATGAGAGTTTGTTTAATCATGTTGATTCCCTAGATATTGTAGAGAAGACCATCAGTTAAGTCTCATGTCCAATCCATGTCTACATAGCCTAATAATATTATTGATAAATTTGTATGGTACAATATTTTATAATTTAATATTTCCATAATATATCTTAAGATTCTTTTTGCTCCTATTAAATATAGAACTTTTGGTTTCATCATGAAATGACTAATAATTTCAATCGAATATGAAATATTAAATTGAAAGTAACTTAATTGTATAAATTTACCTACTATGAAATAGTAGTAGATTGGATCAACAATGTCTTCATTCATATCAATTGTAAGTTTTAGTCTTTCAACCATGGGAGTGGAAATAAATTGATACCCTTGAAGGTTGAAATGACAAATTACTTTTAATGCATAATTTTGTTGTATAATAAATAGTTCTTGTGGTACTTTGATTATTTTAGCCTTGAGATAGTATGTCATATCATTTTTTCTTAGTTTCAACATCTCAAATTTTGATTCAAGTTATGATTTAAATTAATTAATTCAATTAATATAATTTCTTGTGAATAGAAGGTCATCTACATAGAAGACTAGAGGTAGAATTTTTTCATAATGGTGAATGACATAGAAGTTATAATTTCCTTCTTTTTTTGTAAAGCCTTGATTTTTATGAAAGAAGTCAATCTTATCATACCATTCTTTTGATGCTTATTTTAGGCCATAAAGAACTTTGTATAATCGATATACTAAGTGCTCTTGTCCTTCTACTAGTAAGCCTTGAGATTATGTGATATAAACTTCTTATTTGAGTTTTCTATGAAGAAAAGTAATTTTTACATCCATATGATATACTTGCCATTTGTTTTATTTAGAAATAGCTAATGATATTCTTATGGTGTCCCATTTAACTACTAGAGCAAAAATTTCTTCATAGTTAAGTCCTTCTTATTATTAAAAACCGTGAACTACTAGTCGTTATTTTATTTTTTTAATACAGTGCCATCTATTTTCATTTTTTCTTTATATATCCATTTTATTGATATAGCTTAGTAGTTTGAAGGAAGAGGGATAAGTGACCATGTTTTATTATCATGAATTGATTTGAATTCATCAATTATTGAGTTTTTTCTCTCATATGGATGATTTTAATAAGATACCCAATTTAAATTCCAACTTGGCAAAACAAGATATCAAAGCATCAATTTCAAAAATCAAACTATTTGAACTCAATTCTAGCCAAGTAAAATTTACCAAAAATAGTGGTCACAAGTATTAAATCAAACCCACTCAAAAAAATCCAATAGAACCATTTTTATATGTCACCATGGTACCACCAACTAATTTTGCTCCTAAACTTATTGATCTCAATAATATGGATGAGATGCCAACTTTTGATGCAATTAATGATCTTTCTTCTTATTCTAAAATTACTTCTAATATATCTCAAGAATCAGAGAACTAGGATCAACTAAAGCTTGTAGCACCACGTCTACATCTATATCTATGAGATCTAGGAGAGATATTGCACGTGTAGTAGATTCTTTTGGCATTTTTTGCCAATTTTGTTTTGCATCATGGTAGATTGTATAAGTTTGGTTTGTAACAAAAAAATTTGGAATATCAATTGCTTGAGAGGTGTCGACTCCATTGAGGTTTGTTTCGATGAAATTTTCTGTTGTAAATGTTTCGGATCCGCATCATGAGTGCTTCGACATGTATCTTGTGTAATCATCATAAGATAGCATTAGTCTCCTCCATGTGTAGCCGATTCCAAATTTCCTGTAGGTTGGGAATCTCTTTCTCGGACTGGATTTGTGAAACAAGCTTATCAAAACTGCAGGGTGATCTATTCAAAATTCTATGTATGATAACCTCGTTAGATGGTACCTGCTTGATTGATTTCAGGTCTCCGATAATGTCATTTAGTTGTTACATGAAGGTGGCTACATCTTGTTGCTCTCCCATTCGGAAGTTCTCCCAGCAATTCAGGACCACCATGATATCTGAAATAGTATTGGTGCGAAATATAGTGCTGAGTGCTTGCTAGGCGTCTTGTGGATCTGGGATATCGATTATATTGTAGCGAAGATCTGGAGTAAGTGAGTTGAATCATGTCATTAGCTCGTCTCTTTCGCCGTCGAGTGACGTCTGTGTCAGGACCTGTGAGCATCGACTCTTTCGAGCAAATCGTTTCCAAGTTACTCATCTTGGTCCATGAATCTAGACAAAAAAAAAAGCTAGTTCTGAAAATAATACAAATGAGAGCCTGTAAAGAATCGAGAGTCTGCTGGATCTCAAAATGATATCACTTGTTGTGACAAGAAGAGAATATCAAGTGGCATCAGGAGGAGAGAAAAAACAATACTTGATCTAGAATGTGTCTCGAATACAAAGCTGTAATGAGTCGATGGTTAGTATCATAACCAAGGGAATTAAGTAATCAATGTTAGAAAAACAAGCAATGAAGAAGGAAAGAACTTCCGCTCTGATACCATGAGGAAAAGAATAAAACAGAGATTTCAGAAAAACCAAATATTGAACTTACTTGCATATTTGCGACTGTAAACTCGCAGTCTTAAGCACAAGAGTTTAGTTCCTGAGAGTTTGGTGCTAAGTCTGGATTTCAGTTCGTCTATGTCATGATCATCTAGAGTAGATGATAAGTAGGGATGGATGTTATTACACTTAGGACGTTGCCAGATACCATCGACTCGGCACCCATGGCCGGCGGCACTACTAAGCCTTCATCGACAAACACGTGGGACAGGTCGTTCCTCAACGTGGAGATGGCGATGCTGAAATCCGCCACGATGTACCGGTATGGTACAACTATCAAATTCTTCTGACAGTACATTTCATCACGGATGATGGCGTCTTGGCTAGATTCCACTGCTAACAACTTGGCCACAAGCTGCAACATGATAGACACCATGAGCGGACACACACACACACAGTAACTAGCAGATTGAATACCTGCATGATCTATTCACTGGAAATTAGATGAAATAAACTAGTCGGCTTACTGATACATAATTCCTAGAGCATACCATCTTAGCATTGTAACCGAAGAGCAATGGGTTGGTGCCGACGTATCCTGTCAACCCGACATGGGGAATGGCGTAAGTGGAGACTAGGTACTTCAAGCTATCTGCATGGGGATCGAAGGGAGGGATCAATTTCGTTCCAAAGGTCGTTAGGAATGCCTTGTCCATGAACTCGGCCCATACCATCTTGCTCACGTCCAGCAAAGTACGGGAAATGCGCACCTAGGAGGGTCCCCCAACGCCCTCTTGATCGCCCTGCAAGAATCAACCGAAGTAACAAGCGACATCTTGTAAGCAACCGGCCCATACGGTGTGAAAGTGAACACCGTAGTGTCCGATAGGAAGGCTGTTATTTTAGCTCACAAACGACATGACTGGCAGGATTATCAAGTTCAAACTCTACGGATCGATCTTAAAGCACCTGATGTGTCCCACTTCCTGAAGCCCCATCTGGATAAACAGATCAGTATAGTATGGGTCCAAATTGGCCTTCTGTGCACCGATGGGGGGAGGGCCGCCATCAACCAAGTAAGGGGCCACCACATCATGCCCAAAGCCATAAGCTCCCCACAAGAAATACTCAGCCTCGAGGTACTCGAGGTTCAAAGCAATCTGCGTGAGCTCCTTGTCCAACACGGTGGACTCGTTACCAGGCCTGTACATGTAATCTATATTGAGACCTCCAACATCAAGGTCATCTTTCCCACCAGGAGCAGCAGCAGCAGCAGCAGCCAATACGCCCAGCAGTGAATACACGCACAAAGCAATCACGAATTCTCTATGAAAACTCATCTTGCGACCACACTCTGTAGCTGATTGTCTATTGATCGATCACCGAGCCCTGGAGAGTCAGTCAGTTAACGATACAACCAAATTTGTGGTCCATGCTCGCGACTACTTATGCTGTTGTGTTCGGGGTTCGGCGTCGCGTACAAGACGCATGGCCGGCGTGCAAGCTGGAGTGCTGCCAACCAGACCCTCAGTCGGGGGGCTTCATTTTCTTTCCCGGCGGTGCACCGCGCAGCACAGCCGAGCTGAGCCGAGCATGGCGGTTCCGTGGCGGTGGGATGACCCTTCTGTTACCACGGGTCGCAGCTGCGCGCTTTGTGAAAGGAGGACCATGGATCAGTCGTGGGTCGCATGGCGTGCATTGGTTCGGGGCTGCGTCCATTAGTGTGTGTGTGTTGCTGTGTTTCCGTGATGAATAGTTAGTTAGTTTGTTTTTGTTTTTTGTTTTTTTTTGTTTTTTTTTGTTTTTTGATATTTTTCTGGTGCTTGTGAGTCTTAAAGCTGGAGTAGAGAACATTGTGCTGTGGCAGCTCAGTGAGCCGTCTCTCATCACCTTCAAACACACGCGCTCAAACTTACTTGCCGCAGTTGTTGACGTCGACAACGAGGAGAGATGGACTCATCGGAAATGGGCTTCCTTTGTACTGGTTGGATGAAGTGTGGATGGATGAAGTGGAACATATTTGGATGCAGTGAAATGTGGATGGATGGCGTTAACATGTGGATGGATGTAGCGTGATGATGGATGAAGCGTTATTGGATGGAGTTTAATGTAGAAGGATGAAGTGTGAATGGGTGAAGTTTTGGATGAATTGTGATGTAATTAGATGGAGTGTGATTAGACAAATTTTTATTTTAGCTACGTTTCTAAATGTGATGGAGTTAAATGAACTGTGGTTGGAAGAAGTGTAATGTAGTTAGATGACCGACTTGAATGAATAAACGAATGAATATGAAAATATATATATGTACATATATATAAGTACGAGGATTTATTACTTACATGTTCGTTACTGTTAAGAACATTTAGAGTGGAGGTTGTGAAATTGTTGAAACTTGGGCACACATGAAACAAAAGTGAACATAAAAAATTGTTACAATATGTTACGTGGATTTTAAGTACCTGTATTAATGCCTCAAAGAAATTATATATATATATATATATATATATATATATGCTGCTTTGATATGTACTGCTATTAATTGGGTACCCATCTGTAACCACTATGTTCACAGCTTTTTATTAATGTGCATGAACGTACACTAATTATTTTTTATTTTTATATGGAGCTTTGCTAATGTTGTTTCTTGTTTGATGTCTGTGAAAATTGAATACTACAAAAGAAAAATGGACATGTGTAAGATTCTCATTAGTTGGGTGTTGATGGTTTAGTTGATCAACTTACTTTTTGATCAAAGCATACAAAATAATACATTTTTCACTAATTAAGCGAAGCTTACTACAACATCCCCTTTCCAACCTTGTAGAGAAGACATTTGAGACTTATATTAGTGTGTTTAAGTTTGTTTGGATTTGAAGTTTTTGGATGTTTGCAACACAAGCACAAATGCCATGCATTAGGTATTTTACTTGTAAAGAACATGCCTTAATTCAAGGCACAATCTTTGCACAAACACAATTGCATTTTTAGATTGCATTGAGAGTGTGAGAGACTTATTTAAATAATTTGGTTTTTATATATTTAAAATAAACTACATATTATAGATAAGATAAAATAAATTTATGTTTATTTAATTTTTATTTAATAATATGTTGGAATCTTATTAAATTATTTTTTTTTTTGCAGATATAATTCATCATTTTATTATAAAAGTTTTATATTACATTGTTTCTTCTATTAATAAATAAAATGTTTATTTTTACATGCTAATATGCATTATCAAGAACATAATATTCTAACAAGTTTGTGTGTATTATGAATTGAGATTATTAAATTTGGCATTTGATATAGTTATTTGGTGAGTCAGTCCTTTACTGACTTTTGGATAAAATAATCATTCCTTATGAAGATTTTAGAACTTACTGTAAATTATAATTTAAAATTTACTACTTTGTGTAGAAATTGTTTTTAATCTAATTTCCCAGAGAGTAATCATGGTTACTGGCTAAAAATACACCAGTTAACAACCAAATTAAAATTCTAATATTAATTTTTACAATAGTTAAAAGGTTTGCTATTATCAACAAATTAAAAATCAATTTTTTAAAATTAAGGAAGGGATTTTATGTAGTGTTTAATTTAAACTTTAAGTTTCCTAACATTGATTGTAAAATTCGAACAGTACATCATATGTCCCAAATGTCTATTATTTCAAAAACGAATTAAATTAAAAATAAATCACCATCATATCTGAAAATTATTACACAATCTATATCTTTAGAAAGACACTTAGCTTGTTTTGAAGAAAAAAAAAAAAGAAAAGAAAAAAAAAAAGGAAAATACAGAAATTTATTACAAAAGATAAAATATTTTTATTTTCTATTCTAATCAGAATAAACATATAAACATATAAGTTATACAATTAAACATATAAACTGAATATACATATAAGCATATGAACAGAAACTGAATAAACTGTTAAAAACTTCCAAATAGTTTTTTTTTTCCTTAATGAATTCTGCTCAATCTACTCTGAGCATATTTTTTCTGCAGTTGTTTATACACATTGTCGGATTGCACGTTGTCAATGATTGAAAAATTCCTAATAAATTCTTGAAGTTACTCCAGCATCCTCTGTTGATTCTTGTCGTCATGCGTTTTGGTGAACACGTGTTGCACAAGCTACTGTGATTTCAACACTCTCATTATATATATTTTTTCCGGCTGAGGTCTCTAGCCGGAGAATACCTTCGATTCTCGACGTGGTCTGCATGTCCAACCTCGTAAACTAAGCTTCCGATGTTCACACGCGACTGAAGCCTGAAGTTTCATCTTAAATTGAAAAACTTCTTTGCTTCCTGCAGAGACCAAGTTCTAGAACATGACAAATGTCAGAATGAGCGTTTTCAAACACTTAAAACCATTCACACAGAATATAAGTCATGTGATACCCGTAAGGTTGTCAAAAACGAAAAAGTCAAAGGAAAGAATTACTATCATTTTACAATATTCAACATTGAATCAATTGCAGCCTTTGCCACTTCCTCCTGGGGTAAACAGCAATATTAATGCCACGTTGAAAGTTGAAGAATCTCATAAGACCTGAGTAAAGGAGGGAAAAGAAATATATGATGGAGGAATATTGCAATACTGTCATATACCGACTCTGACATATGCTTGAACATAGTAATCAATACTTGCTGGGTTTGACATGTACCCTGCACCTGCAAACACGTTTACGATGGAGCACAGTGCTTGAGGTTGCCACCTTACTTACCGAACACCACCTCTCGACGATGGTCAGATATCGGAAGATGTTCAACTAAGAAAGACTTCCTCGCCTATAAATGCACATGCGCTGCCGTAAACTAGACGTCGAGCTCATTACCTGGCATGCAGTTGATTGCAAAGATATGAAACATACAAAGACCTTTCAAATTTTAGGCAGCATGACATTACTTTTTTTTTTTTTAAATGTTAAAAGGATTGCTCACTTCGAGCACAGGCCAAGCAGTTGAAAAGATGAGTATAGATGATATACTTCCTTTTGAGTGAGGCGATCTCCGCAACATAGGAAGCTTGCTTTGGTTCTCATCTTGGAAGAAAAAGCCCCCATACAAGTTTTCATCATCTTTATGTGAGTATTTTCGGTCTACAACAACTATTTTTCAGTATTATTTCGTGAGGAAGATTCTAATCAGTTTAGCGCCATTTCTGGATATGGGTTGAAATAGTTCTTAAGAGTGATGCTATAATCATTATTTCAGAGCATCTAGACTTTTGTCCTTTAATCAAAGTATTTTCGGTGACCCTTGATATTGGAGGATGTACCTGCTGCTGTTGGACACTATCAAAATCCCCAAAAGAATTCTTGACTGATGCATCCCGTTGGACCAGAGTCCTCGCTGTCCTCGGTCTCACACTCCAACCCACCACACACTTGAGCACTACCGTCTAACTCGACCGTGATGTAATTCAATTACAATTAAAATAACGAGAGCAGAGGCTTGGAGGACAAAAGTTTAGATGACACAAATTAGACGTTATCAAGAGGACAGCACGATATGATGCACTTGTCCTCAATGATTCGTCATGTGGCAAAATTTAGTGAATTTGAGATCTAATCTCACCCCAGAATTCCCATTCGAACAGCTGCAAGAACAAACCGTCTGTTCAATCTTCCACTGAAACTAATTCAGGGAATTTAAATTACCACGCTGCTAAAAGTGATTTTACAGAAAATTTGCAGAATTTAACCCAAGGTATGAGAAGAATACTTTTTCTCACGTGACGTAGGCAAGCCGAAAGGCAACCGAAGAGGAGAACTTTCATGCCTCAAAATGAAGATTTTTGACTAAAAACGCCCAACCACGCGATTCTCATGGCCGATTTTGCCATTTATAGAGTTCGATTTTTTCAAGACCTGTTGCAGCCGGCAGACTTCAGCTGCATGCATATTCTTTTTTAATTCGAGTTTCTGGTCAATGTCTCAACGCAAAAATCTTGCAAAATCGTGTCATACTTTTACCTATTTGTTACATTCCAAGGTTATGTACGTGCTGAATTTTGAATTTCATCCATTTGTAGCAGTAACGCACAATATCAATGACAGTAAAGAACCTGTTTCACGCACAGTTTCGAATCTGGTACAATATTGTCTGAAGCACATCTGAGGTATTTACTTGCTAGCATTGAGACCCAACCTTGTAAGCACGCATATTAGGAGCTCAACAATATTGTCCTTGCCTTTCCTTATTAGGTCATGAACCTGTCATATTGATTTGCGAGATCAAGAGGTATGAGGTTACGTGAGCGTAAGTGGTGCGGACATCGTCTTCGTAGTTCCTAAAGTTCAATCGCTTGCGAATCGAAGGATTTGTTAGCTGCCATAACATCAGCTTCGGAATTGCAGAAAAGATTTCATGACCAGAACAACTTAAGGGTTACGACTTGCATGTTTCAAGGAGGTAAGTAACAATATTCACTCTTATTGGTATCAAATGTTGAGTAGAGACTACATCTGGTGTAAATAAAGAGGCAAATACAATCTGTAACACAAATATTGGTTATTATCAAGATCGTATTGATGTACGAGTTCAGCCTCCATAAAAGGATGTTCAAGCTCGCGTAGCTCCTTCACCTGCGATGTTGACGCACAGTCTGCGGGGGCTCCTGTTGCGTGTACATCCCAGTTTAATTTCTCTTCCAAAGCTTCACTGTCTTTCGCTAGTTTCCTCAGAAGATAAGATTTAAACCCAAGTTAGCTCTTCGGTGCGCTTTTTGTTAAAACTCGCCATTTAGACGACTTCGGGCAACAAGCTAAAACTGGAGTTGAAGCTCAACATTTTTGAAAATATCTATATCTGCTGTGACATTTGAAACACACATAATTCCTCATAATTACTAGCAACATTTTTTGTGGGTTAGGAATCAGTAGAGTTTGCTCCAATGAAAGTTGGGCCCACAAGAACCTGATACGTCATTCCAGTATTAAATCCTCCACCACACTCAGTCTCTCATGGGTCTCACAAAATCTAGAAGAGAACACACGCCTAAAACTGAACCGCTTAATAGAGCAAGGTTCTAATTTTACTGCAACAAATATTTATTAGTTCCGTATCTACCTGTTCTAGGTCGCAACATTCGCCGTATACAGTTCCCAATTTCGGAGCTCAACTTCTTTCTCGAGCAGTACCCCCATCAGTTGCATAATCTCGACCTCCAGTGGTTCCTGGTCCCGACAGCCAGCTGTGGCAATTCCCAGAGATGGTGTATGAAGAATTACAAGAGGTCCCTGAGTTTACTGTCCGAAACTTTGGTGCTGTGGATGAGAGTGTCGTTCAGCAATTTGAACTGGTTGAGGTCATACCTTCACTGTCTAAGTCCTCTGTGCAAACATAAGTCTGGTCATTACCCTCTGCGGTGGTCGACGAGCATAAGACAAAGGCACTGGTCATAGCTCAACGTTCGCTAATCAGCGACATATCAGCGCCTTCTATCGCTGACATTTAAATCTTCTTCATTTTGGTGACCTCCTCATGTAATTCTAAGAACCGTAACAAACTGATACCTAGCATTTCTCGATGATTACAAAAGCATCAACGATTGCAAATAAGCGCCTGGCCCGCAGATTTTCAAAGGCTGCCTGTCATAGACAACGAAGCTCAGAAATCCACTGCAATAAACAATGTATTTTCCAGAAGTTGCCGTCCATGAAATAATTCTTTAGCTAATGGCCTCACAGCTGTACATTTAAGTAAGAAAAGACTTTCCAAACAGACAACTATTCACTATGGCCGACTTTGTGTTCCAGTGCAACCATAATAATGTCTTGGCAAGTTTCTGATCAAACCTCTTTCCATCCTAGACTAAGAAAAACCCCTGCCACGACCTACTATCCTCACACAAATGTAGTGTATGCTCTTGATGATGCGGCTTGCATTGATCAAAGCAGCTCGTAAATTACCCTCTGCCAAGAAAGATCCGAGGAAAAGCGAGGAAAAGCGGGGAAAAGCAAAGTGGCGCTAAAACAAACTGACAATAAACAGCTTACGATGTCACCAGCATCGCAAAATTGCCGCCCCGAACAACGAACAGCCGGAAGAAGGACGACAGCAATGAGGCTGAGCTTGTGGAAGCGAAAATGGTGAAGCTTTTCACATAACAATGCAACCAGAGCGGCAACGAGATGACGGAAAGGGACGGAAGACGACGGCAGTAGGCGGGAGTAGACGGAAAAGGTTGGTTGTGTTGACTGCGCTCCAACTGACGGCGGTTGGTTGCCTCGTTCCCATGAGAGTTCTACCGTTCCCTTCCCGTTCCCTTCCCTACTACGATGCTTTTCTATTTGGTGTTGCAAACTCGTTTCATTCTTGTGAAAAAGTTATGGAATTTTAGCTCAAATAACATCCCTAGTTAACTTTTATCTTTCCCTCTAAACAAACTAAAGGAAGGAAGAAATAAATAAATGATTTGAGATTAACATACTTATTTTATTTATTTATTTATTTTTTAAGTTGTTTGATGTGTATCAACAAACATATCAATAATCACTAATCCATGATCATCAATGCACATTTAATCCTTCCAAGTTTTTGAAGTTCTGAATCCAATGTCTCCAAAGCCATGATTTGGAATTTTATGATGAAATAACTTATTAAGTGTTTGCATTTAAGTTCACAAGAATTTGGATATATATATATATATATATATATATATTGATTTAAAGTTTTGAAATTAATACTAGATAATGATGTCTTGGATTCGGACCAAAATGTTGAAGTTTTCACATTTTTTGGACAATTTTGTGCATGAGAAACTGTAATTTTTTTGTCATATAATTGTTAAAATTTCAGTGCAAGATAAATTTATTATTAAACACCACTAATTTGTTGTTTCTGTAAGAATAATATATTTTGTACAATGCAATCATTATTGATTTTTTTTGTGGGTTTTAATGTAAATTTTAAATATACATATACATAGATATATATATATATATATATCTATATATATATATATATCTATATATCTATATATATATCTATATATCTATATATATATATATATATATATATATATGTTATTTTTAACTCAAAAGTTTGCTCTAAATTACTCTTAATATATTGAAGGTAGGCAAAGTACCTGAGTAATATAAATATTCTTTACAGAGTTTTAAATAAACAGTTTAGTATAGAACTTACTAGAATTTGGAAGTGAATTTAATTAGGTATAACTTTTAGCTATAAGTTTATTAAAATAAACATTTTAAATATTTATCAACTCAACATTTGCTAAATCCAAAATTGCACAATAAAAAATAGTATTTTATTGTTAATGAAAATAACTTTCATAATTGATGACAGTTTCTAATTGAGGAAGTTGCTAATCTTATCAACATCTATCAAAAACTCATTTTTATAATGTTCTAAAAACTATAGCTATTAACAATGATTATAATTTAATTTAAAAAAATCACATAATACCTAGTTATATCTATTTTTTTAATATATATTTTAGCATAAAAAAATAACATTACCAACATTCAAGAAAATCTAAAGCATTTCTAACTTCTTATAATGATTAATTGGAATCAATGTATATATTTTTAGTATTTGGAAATCTTGTACAATAAATAAATAAATAAATAAAACATGCACAATATTTCAATAGGGATATAAGATATTGTTAAAAAAAATAGAGTATTAAAAAAGTCATGTGGAAAAGTCATTGCACTTGCAATGAGTTGTCAAAATGAATAACGCTAACTTATACTCCCATATGTGCACTTTTAAAAATCAAAATCCGAAAGATTAAATTTTAATGTGATTAAAAAAAGTTTGAATTTTTTTGACAACCATCAAACATTTTAGAGTTTATAAAATAAACTTTAAATATTATTAAGCTTACATTTTCAGAAACAACACACACTTATAAAATAAAATAATAATATGTTCGAGCATCTATCCAACCCAAAAAAGACTAAAAAGTCAATTACAGTCCGCAAAGACTTTAAACTAATCAATGACAGGACAATTGCACCAAATAGGTTGATAATTCAGCTCTAAAATCCAAACTTCGCCTGATGAACACAGCACGATAATTAATCCTTAATGTCTCAAAATCAAAATAATAAGACTGTTACAAATAAAATGACTGAATCAAAATGAGACGATAATTGTTGAGTATTGTTGGAAAAATTGACCAGTAGATTTACTTGATTGTAGGGAACTTAGAACACATCTAGTTCGGTCAACATCGAAAGATCTATCATAATTAATTTGTGTAATAAAATTTAGACTAGGTGACATACAAACTAACTCTCTAAAAATAATATGTATATATATATATATATATATATATATATATTTTTTTTTCTGAATATATATATATATATATATATATATGTATCAATTATGAATGCAAAAGAATTAAAATTTCAACAATCTTAAAAATAAAAACAGTCCAAGAAGGACTGTTATGGAAAGTGATTAAAAAAAAAAAACAAAAAACAAAACAAAACAATACAAAACACACACACACACACATTCAGGAGTGGAAACAATCACAATAATAACATGATTTTTTTTTCATCAAAAAATGTAAAATTAATTCAATTTTTTTAGTACACTCAAGGTACTTCTTTGGTAGATTTTTATGCATTCTTCTTCTTCTTCTTTCTTCTTTTTCCTTTGTAATGTATAAAAAACGTATGGCCTGACGTGGGACAGTAGCCATGACTGGGGCAATTTACTTTGATTAAAATAATGCCAAGGCGATGATGCAGATTGACATACAACAACAAACTTATGGACATTCATTCAATACAGGATATAGAGAAAAATAGGGGACATGTTCAAAAGAATTCCGTTGTACAGAAAAAACAAAAAGAAAAAGAAAAAGAAAAGTAGTTTACAAAGTAAGAAACCCCAACATAAATTAATGACTTTACACGTGGACATAGCATCACGAAAGGGGTATTTTTGACCCAAGTCACAAACCCAATCAGCACACCCCAACCCAACATTCCAAACAATAATAACACGAAACTCTATCCCTTTCTTACGGCTTTATTTCTTACTTTTGCTTTATTCATGCTCACCACTTCACGACAGTGTGAACATTGATACACACACGCAGGCCTACGCTAAAGTGCGGATGACGGAACACACTCTAGCACACAGATGAGAAAGACCGACCGACGACCCTTCGTTTGTCCCGATAGGAGTAACCGTGGGGGGGCGGCGGTCATGGGGGGGGGCTTCGGTAACCGGAGGCTCGGTGGTGCCAAGGGTGGTCGTCGGGATTGGGTGTGGGCATCGGCATGGGCACGACCCTAAATTAGAGGGCGAGAGTGGGATCATTCCACTTTGCACGGGACCCGCCCGCCCTTACTTTGGAAGTAAGTTGAAGGTAGGGGTCGGGTATCGAGGTGGGTGGGTGGGGGTAGTAGAGACGGCGCGAGGTCGTAGAGAGTGAGTGCGAGACCGGGGTTGCATTGGGTGCTTGCTAGTGTATAGAGGGTACCTTTGGAAACCTGTGCACGAAGACGGGGGATACTACGCCGCAGCACAGTAGCAGTAACAGGAGAAAGGAAGGTGGAGAAGAAGGAAGTGGAGGAGAAGGAGGAAGAAGAAGGAGACGGCGACGACTGCACTGCATTGCAGCTGGCTAGCGCCGGGAGTGAGTGAGTGAGTGAGTGAGTGAGAGAGAGAGAGAGAGAGGAGAAGAGAGGGGAGGGGGAAGGGGGAGTAGGAGGAGGAGTTGTGAGTTGTGAGGAGTTGTGAGGGATGGTCGTGATGAAGCCGGTGAACGTGAGAGGAGTGGCGGACGATAGAATGGAACGGCTGGCGCATCCCGAGGGGTTCTCCCCGGCGGGGTTGAAGGTGCTGGTCGTAGATGACGAACCGCTGGCGCTCATGATTGTCGAGCGCATGTTGCAAATTTGCCAGTACACGGGTGAGTAGAAGCGTGCACAGCGCCCCGAAACCCTTGCTCTTAGGTATGAGATGCGGGAGAGGGAGGGAGGGAGAGAGGGGATGTTTGTGGTGTTGTAGGGGTTGGGAGGAGGGAGGAAGGGGGAGGGGAGAGTGTGCACGAGAGGGGTGAGATTTGCGTGAGGTGGAACGGCTGCGCGTGGAGCAGTTGAGGGGCGCCGCGGCCTGGGTTGGAGATGAGAGTGGAGTTTTGGATCAGTTTGGCAGCATATCGAGTGGGAAACTTACATTGTGCGGTGGAGGTAGATGTGAAGCGAGGGTTCCGATGCATATTTTCGGGGTTACGATTCTTGCCTTTATCCTCTTAAACTGGTAGATTGCGCGTTAGGAAACCGTGCACATCCACCCCGGGAGAGTGGCAGATAAATTTGTCCGGTTTTGGTTGCTGCGAATATGCCCCACAGTGTTGAGAGTGAATGTTTTTACTTCCATCTTTTGTGGTTCGGTCAGTGGTGTCTTTGACGTTCATATTGTCTCCCCTTTTGGGGACCTTAAGTTCACATATAGCTTTTTGTAGATTCAGCTTTTTCTCTTTCGAGATCAGGTGTCTCCACTAACAGAAGTTCCTCCACTTAATGGTGTAAAAAAGCTTCCAGCCTTGCAAGGAGTTTCATGTTCGCGGATTTCACGAAAGTGTTGCATTGGAAATTTGTTTCTCTGTTGGAACCTGAAGCGAGTTTCGAATGTGTCTTGGAGTTTAATTATGACGAATTCCGGGCGGGTCGGTTCAAGTGATAATGGGTTGTGAATTGGTGTTCAACAACCCATTCAAATAGCCTCGTCAAAGTTGAAATGTCTGTAGCAACCCGTCAGCTCAATTGCTCAGTACATACGGGCGCCTACGAAGTTCGAGGTTGAACTCGAACGTGAGTTTGGCAGGATTTTATAGTACAATCTGTCTGACCATTGCTTGTGCCAGCCTGTGAATGTGTATGCATGTTTTGTTGACGATCGAGTTGGTACTTGTCATAGTAAATTTTTTGGGTCGAGCACCCCCATCCATTTAGAAACGTAGCTAGACCATGCATGTGGAAGACGTGTGAAGCTTGGATCTGCTCACATTTAGTTTGATATTCTTGCACTTTGAATGCTCACCTTTATTGTTGCTGGAAATTAGAAGTGTGTCGTCAAGCCTCTTGCTTGCACTTAAAAAATGACCTGAATCTGTTGTGGTTTTGGTGCAGTGTGGGTGTCACCTTCGTTGAACGCTGACGTAGTGTGCATATGAGTTCTAAAGGGCCCATTGACAGTGATCTTTCAGCCATATATATTGCCCATTAGCATTGTTGTGCTTTCAGTTACAAAAGTGCCAGGTATCATCATATATATGTAGCTCTTATTTCGGTGTTTGGATGTTATGTGGGGTGATTGCAGTGACCACATGTAATAGTGCCACTAAGGCCCTCGCAATGCTGCGAGAAAACCGCAATTATTTTGACCTAGTCATAAGCGATGTTTACATGCCAGACATGGACGGTTTTAAGCTCCTTGAAGCGATTGGGCTGGAGTTGGATTTACCTGTGATAAGTAAGTGAAACATCGTACGATCGCACTCTTGTATTTGTTAAGTAGCTGCTGTTGTTTAATGGTAGTACGAAGATCTATCTAGGGCATGCACTCTCCAGATTTCTCTTGTTAGATCCCGACGGGATTTTTTTTGTGTACTGTAGCATCAAGTCTGATAAGGGCTCATGATTAGCTAATTTTGGTGGCTTGTAATTGGCCATAATCTTCATTGGCAAGTCTGAGAGCTGAGTGTTGCATTATGCTGTTAATTAGATAATAAGTCCTTTCAAAATAGTGTAGTGCAGATTTGCTTAGGCAGGAACTTGCTTTTTTGGATTATTATTAAGTAGTTGTTGCAACCTAGAACTCGGTCTGAAGGATCTTACATGATCACGTAGGAACTGCCATGTTTCTGTGTCGGGAAAGTTTAATCTGTGGAATTTGACATTCAAAGGTAAGTCTAGCTATCAACATGTCAGACGGCACGATCTATACTAGTTAGTGCGTAACGAGCAGGAGATGTTGCGAGATTTTGTCGAGTATACGAAGAATAACGGATTAGCTCATGGATATCATTGTCCTAGCCAGGGGAGTTTCATCATGCTAATTATATGTTTCGGTGAATTTAGTGATGTCGGGAGACGGAGAAACCGATTCTGTCATGAAGGGAATCAGGCATGGTGCTTGTGATTATCTCTTGAAACCTGTCCGCCTTAAAGAGCTCATAAACATCTGGCAACATGTGGTACGCAAGCTTGTTACACCAAGAGATATTCCAAAAGAGGAATCAGGAGAGTGGGATGAGTTTCCAAAACATCAGGATAATGCAGATTTTGATTCAACGGCACGCAAGAGAAAGGAGAGGTCGGAAGATGTAGCTCAACTTGTGGAGGATGTGAATAATTTGAAGAAAGCTCGCGTTGTCTGGTCTGCGGAACTACATCAACAGTTTGTCAACGCCGTTAACTACTTGGGTGTAGACAGTAAGTTCCAGTATAGCTGCGATACATTTGCTAGTCAGAAGCTTGTGAGTTATGTGAAATGAATTTCATAAACCTCATTGATTGTTCCTTCATTAAATGCAGATTGTTCTTAACTATTGTATGGTTCTGCAGAGGCTGTGCCTAGGAAGATACTAGATATTATGAATGTTCAAGGACTTACACGGGAAAATGTGGCGAGTCACTTGCAAGTAAGTTCAAATTAGGCCACGCAGCATTTGATGAGTTAACTCTTCCCTTTACCTCCGAGCAGCGAAGAAGTGGGTCAGTTGTTAATGATGACACACTTCGCGTCTTTTGTGATTTTCCGACCCTTTTCATTTTATGATTCTGGTTTATACAGTTATAAAGTGATGTCTGTAAATATAGATATACACAAGTAGAAAGGAAAATCTCATTTAGCATGTGTTTGTATGAGGGCAGAAGTACCGATTGTACTTGAAGCGGTTGATTGGGGTGACACCACAGCCGTATCCTGTAGCCTCATTTCAGGCCGCTGAAAATGGTACCTTCGGGGGGACTATGCAAATACAACCGGGGGGGCGCCCCGCAGCCTCTACCAGCACGAAGGGTCTAAACCTCGGTGGTGGTGCATCAAATTCTTCCATAGGTGGATTAAGCCGGAGTGGGGTACAAATTGATGCTGCTACACTGAACGCGTTGGTTCAGCTTCAAAGTCTTCAACAACAAAAGCAGCTTGGTCCAACTGCTGCTCGGAGTGGCCTAACCACAGATGTCGTGAACTCGCAAATCCCAGCTGATCCGACAGGGCTCCAGAGGCTGGATTCTTTTGAACTTGACCTCCTGATGAAGACTCAACATGATGCGAGTCGGCAGCGAGGTAGTGGTGGTAGTACGGATCTCGCAGATTTGTTGAATTGTAGCAAGGATGCTCTACCTTACATGAGCAACTTGAGAGGACAGTGTGAACTTAAGCCTGCTGTCATGGGCTCTACAAATCCCCTCGTTGGTAGTGAGCCAATGACAGCCATGTCAATGAGTAACTTGCGAGGTGTTGACGACGGTGGTCCCAGTTTGGGAAGCACGGAAGCAGGAAGAAGTCATATGGTGAATAAGTTGGGTAGAGATTTTTCGAACTCATCGCCAGCGTTTTTCTCATCTACATCGCGAAGTAATGGTGGTGCCGTCTCGGACAGTAGCTTCAGTACCAACTACGGTGACATTCCTGATGGGCCTCCTAGTTTTCTGGTTGCGTCACCTCCAGATTTGTCTCTCTTGGGGCAACTACAAGCCTTTGATCAAGTAGAGTTTGATTATGGCCAATTATCCCAGCCTCGACGGTCAATGTCATACTCTAGTAAGACGTAGAAAGCCAGCTTTTTCACTGTAACATCAGCGCCACCTCTTATGAGTGATGCATTGCCACTTTCTAAGGCTCTATTTGAGAGAGGCTTTCCAGGTTCGAATTTGAAGAATTCAGGTTCAGATGTGTCCAGAGGCCATTTAACGGTGGACTTGGGTGCCGGTGGAATTACTGCTACCCTTTCTCCGATTGCTCTTTTTTGCTTGACTTCTAGCACCTTGGCTACCCCAGTGCAAGTTGACTTTAGATTATCATGCTGTCCAAGGATCCCATTCATTATTGCCAGATGGAAGAGCTCTGAAGGTTGTGCTCTTAGGAGCTGTACTTTTATGTGTTGTCCGTGTCGAAGAGGGACCCAAAGTAGAATGGAAATGGAACTATTTGCAGTTTGCAGGTTTGGAAGAACTTTTGAATTGAGATTGGAAAGGTGTGACCTCTTCTTCGAAGGCAAGTGCACGGGACACAGCATGTAAAGCTATTTAAATTCAAAGTTATCTATAATGCATGCAGGGAGTTTTCTTGGTTACATCCCTAGTGTACAGTTTAACTTCTTTTATGAAACCAGTACCTCATGGACCATGTGAACCTTCCGCTGAAAAGTGATACTATGACCTTGTAAGTGTATTCCTCATGATTGCTTTAGCTCGTAGGTGATCGCTAATTTTGGAACTTAGTTTGACTTCTAATGTTTACTACTTATTTTGATTGTTTTAGTTGCCATATGAACTCGTGTTCCATATTTATGTCCATCAAAGGAACTTGTGTGATTTTAATTTTAAACTTTGTAATTGAGACAGTTTCTCCCACTAGACTATTGCCTTAATTGTAGCCGAATCGTTGATATTATTCCTGCTTGTATTGTTGGTACTTGCTGTTCACAATTTTGTTAAATCTTATCAAGTTTTGTATATTTTGGAAGAATTTCTACTGCATACGATCGACTCACATCGTGAATGTGGTTTCTGATTCTAATCATCAGTACAGCTTCCCTGTTAATTTTTTTAGGCAAATATGGATCAGTTCAAACCGGGCCTCCCGACACTAGTTTTTGTATTTTTCAATCATGTTTTAGTCTTGATTGTATCATGCACATTTGGATAACAATAAAACTTTCTCATTTCTATGTGCTGAGCTGAATGTTTTATAAGGATAGATGTATATTTTGTTCGTAACATCTAACATTTGTACTGACACTACTGTCAAACAATATAATTGGAATTTCCAGACTTGTCCTGAATTTTGGGACTGTCTTGGGCAACTTCTTGGAAATAAAAATGTATTTTACAAAGAAATGTTTTGCTTAGTTGATGTGAAAAGTACTAGATTTTTTTATTGTGAAAAGATTGCAACGTTTTCAGCGTAGCATAATTCTAAATCTGCAAATTTCATTCTGGACAAAAAAGTTTGAAAGAAATTTGCGTGAATCGAATTTGCAGTAATAAAGTTCGAACACCTATGATATGATGCACAATCTTCAATCCCTTCACAATTAAGTAAAGTAAAAACATCATTAAAAAATAGAATCAGGAATATTCATTTATGTGACATTCATTTTGCATGCCAAAAATTAAATTGCATTTCTACATTGTTTTTAGTCATGTAAGCAACACCACTAACAGTTAAAATTTGTTAATCACTTCAAATATTATTTAATTTCATCATCGTAGTTGGTAAAAAAAACAGCAACAAAAAAATCGAAATCAAAATCAAAATAGACACAAGAGAAATTTAGTTCTGAATTCTACGATCAATTTAATTACTCAAACACATGAATTATTCGTTAAATATTTTTAAATCAGAATTTAACTGCAATCACTTCAGCAGATTTTTTTCTTCTTGATTTTTGACAAAAACATGATTACATACATACACAGTTCAAGTATTTTAATTTAACAACATTATGAGTTGTGGGTCAAGACACAGCCCTGGCCTACCCCACATGCTGAACATTCACCTCAAAAACCTTGAGAGCCTTCGAGTCATCAAAATCATCCATACTCCACTTGTACTCCAAGCCACAACAGCAGTGAGCCATGTGGATCAATACTAAGATTGACATATATATATATATATATATATATTTGTGTGTGTGTGTGTGTGCTAAAATGTTCTCATTTCATGGTAGTAGTTACATCAAAACATTCTCGATGCGAGGCTTCGAAGTACCAGCCAAAACTTGGGACATCACCTGCAGGGTGCACATATTTTGAAGCTACTATTCCTGATCGGTAGCATGTTTCTGGAACTCTGGTTGAAGAACAGCATTGGTGAACCAAATGAGGTGACAGGTTAAGAAGCTAGAAACATACAACATAGAGTCAGAATTGATGGGCTGTACCTGCAGAGCTCTGCTTTACCAGTCACTTACTGCAAGATGACCCTGTCATATCAACACCAAAGAAAAAAATCTTCATTGGTTTACACCAGTGAAGATCCTTATCATCACGCATTGCTGGTCGATATGTGACACATCATGCATCTAAGTTGTGATCAGATCATGAGCTTTTCTCAGCATATTTGACAGTAAGGCTTTGCTCCGTGCAGGGTTTCCTCAAGCATAATTGACCCGAAAGTGCATGTCAGAGTGGATGTGACTGACAGATAAAATCTCCGGTATTCAATGTCACCGCCATCATCTTCAGCTGCAGGACGAATCCGAGTCCCTATCACAATTACCGTCCCATCATCGTTCGGTATCATACAAACAGGATAGCCACCAATGTACAAGTGTGGTGTACACAAAATGCCGTTCGTAACCCACCAAGTAATGAGGGTCCTCCTCCCTCTCAGCAACAATGGCAATGGAGCAGCCGCATGACAGACAACCTTCGTTGGGAGGATTTTGCACGATGAGAAACTAAATGCCAGAGAGTTCTCAGGGCATGAGGGGTTGAGGTCTAGAACAAACTTAATCTCGTTGATAGAAGTGCCGGAGGGTTGCTGTTGAACGGCGTCATGTCGAACAGCTGCATTAATACATTGTTTCTCAAGAAAAAATAATCCCCTTTCTGAGCATCACATTGTACGCCAGACTGAGTTCGTACCCACAAAATCTGCACCAAAGAAGCCTAACGGCGCATGTACAACAGTTCAAATGTGACGGAGTCGATCTGTGCAACCGAATAATACATTCTGTTAAGAGTACCAACGTAGTTGCAGGCTCCAATTCAAAATTCCAACAGGCTCCAACTCAACTGCTCACCCTACATCCTCCTCATGCCCGTCAATAGGCTCAGCTACAATCGCACTGTCATAGCCCAGAAGACTGATGATGAGAACCCACCTACGCTAGTTAAAAGCACTCAAATAATCGTAGATCCCCATTAATAGTAAACATGCTTTCTGCTAATACAAGCATCAAGCAAAATCTTAACCACCGATCACCACTAGCACAACACACGCCCCGCCGGTGTGCTCCGTCGCAACCAATCCTTAGCATCGTCTCCACACAGTCGCGGATACCGACATCTGGACAACCAGAAACGTGCAAGCACCGCAGCACACTCAGTTACAGGACAGCGGGAATTGAGACCCACAGTTTGTCGGACCACGCTCTACAACGGCGGAACAACGCTCCTCAAACCCGGAGAAGGTCCAGTGAACAGGTCCTTGTATCGGGGAAGATTGTCGACGGGGCCGTGGATCGAATTCATCGCCGAAATAGCCACATCCGAGACGATCTAGACATGATTGTTCAGCTGCTCACATTCAGCGCTAGAAAACAGACTCAAGAGCGATGAATCGCACGTTGTGCAACAATCGCAGGACGTGCATCATGGTGCCAAAGAGCTACAGCGATAAAGCTCTGACCTCGTCGTTGTCATCGAGACTCACCGACAGTGTCCGAGAAGGGTGGCGGTCTCCGTTGCGGTACTTCGGAAATGACGTCCCCAGCCCTAATTTTGTTTCGTGTTGATTTGGAGTCTACGATGCATCGTTCATGTTTGAAAATATGGATGTATATAAATCTGTGTGACTATATGTGTATGTACGTGTGTGTATATATATATATATATATATGACTTTTTCCCTCATGATTTATGATGACGTGTCAAGGCTTATTTATTATGAATGGAGAGCTTTACATTTTATTTTATTTTTGTTGTTATTTGTTTCTTATTTTCTCTTTTCAAATAGTTGACATTGTTTAACATGAGTAACCAAATATAAATGTGACTTGAGCTCCTTGGGAATTCTTTGCCTGATTAGAGGAATACTTTTTGGTAAAATTGTTCTTTTTTATGAAAATCATGAGAGTTTTGTTCATGAAGTAAATCTATCTTTTATTTGCTGTTTTCTCTTATTTTGATACCCATGGACCACAAATGGATTTACAAATGTGATGATTGCTGCTTTTCTTTTTTCTTTACTCTTTCTATCTTTTTTCTTTTTTCGTTTTATCTTTATACTTGTTAACTCCTCTAATAATCTTTAAAAGCAGCATCTTTGCTACGAAGCCTTTGTGCAATACTACTTTTTTTGTAAAACTTTATCTGATAAAACATTTGATGCATCATGAACCATAAAAATAAAATTTCAATTATATATATATATATATATATATATATATGAAAATGAGAGTAATATTCATTTAAACTTATCTTGGGAATTGTTTGTCACTCTTCAAAAGACTTATCCACATGAAGAGCATTTTCCAAGTTCAATTGTGAGGAACTTGTCAACCCTATGCTCACACAAGCCCACATGATTCCCATGTGAAGAGCCATAATTTAGAGGGTTCCCAATGGCATGGGTTTTCCAAACCATTCATTAAACAAATAAAACATGCTAAAAAACAAATAAACAAATAATAGAATGAGCACCATTCTCTACGTGAATCACCAAATTGTACACCCACCACACCAACACTCAAGCATTTCATTCCTAGTCAACGAACAGAATTCGACCAGCTGTCGTTTATTCATTCATCCATCCACCCATCCATCCCTTATGACTTTTTCCGCCACCTGCCCAACTGCCTACGAATTGACTAATTCCAAAAGTTTGTTGTTTTATGACAAAGAATCTGTGAAGATCCTTTTTACTTTACCTGAAAACGGAGCAAGATATAAATATCATGAAGACCCTGTCGTAAATAATAATATAAATAAAAAAAACTAAAAAAGTTAATTAAAGAGTGATACTCTAATGATATGCACGTTATCACAATGTGTATAAGAATTGAGTATCTAGTATCAAATATAAAAACCAAACCCCACACCATTGAACACCACTCAAGGGAATATTTTAGATAATCAACCTCGAATTAGTCAATAAAGCGTCTAATTCGTATTATCATGGATTATCCAAACGAGATACCCGATCGGTGGGTTTTAAATTAGTGTAAATGAGGCGTTCATTAGCAACGAACGGGCTTTGCGAGGTCCGAACCAATGGTAAATTCCCACGTAGGATTGAAGCTCGAGAGTGGGTAAATTTAAGTTAAGGCGAGGTTGACGGTCTCAACGACCAGGTGAAAAGCCGACACCTGGCGGGTCCCATTCAAAAACTGAGCTCTCAAGGCGGGCCCAGGAGGAGGGGGAGAGCAGAGCGGGCGACCCCAGTGTACACTGCCAGCTTGGCCCAAGTCTAGCTACCCGGGCCCACTCCGTCCCCTTTGGTCTACGGCTCCCGTCGCTCCGCCAGGCTTCTGTTTCTGCACCACTCTGTCTTACGCTGTCGTTACTCTTGTTGGCCCAGGAGCGTCTCAAGTGCATTCTCGTTGCGAGGCTACCTTCCTCTACCTCGTATGTTTGCTCAGTGCGTATCTTTCCCAGGGGCTTCTCTTCTTGTTTCAGTTGTTGCAGTTTTATGGTTAAGGTAATGGCGTCATTGTAGTGTATTTTATATTTGTGTATATATATATATATATATATAGCTTGTTTAGTCTTTTGATTGTTTGGCTTTCTTCGTGCTATTTGCTCATCCGTGGAGTGTTGTGGATTTGTTTTGTGTTTAGGATCGATGCTACTTGACGAGGGAGACGGTATAAGATCTCTGGGAGGTAGCAGAGGTGATGAAAAGGAGGTTTCCTGGGCTGGCGATGGTGGGTAAGATGGAGTGCGTCTAGAGGTGATAAAAAAGCTGGTGAGGTCAGAGGTGGAGAGTGTGGAATTGAGAAGCGATGGCGGAAGAAGAGGACTCGTGGCAGCACGGAGTGAGATTGGTGTTGCACTTGGATTCGATTCTCGAAGGTGATCCTTACATGTACGTCGCGCTTCTTCCCACTGCAATTGTTGCGCGTTTCTCTCTGTCTGCCTGTCTCAGCAAAGAGAGGTAACTTGTCCTTTGACCAATCACTGGAGCTCCGTTAGCTTTCAAAAATTGAAAGCAGCGCCTGTGGCTGCTTTCCTGGCTTCTTTTCCATAGTTGCTCTGATACTTGGATTTTGGGGTGTGCTTCAGTGATGAGATCGGGTTTGTGCATCCATCTCAGCTCGAGAGCTTGCACTCAATTGGAAATTTCGCTCTAGAACATAAGAAGCCCTTTTTTATGAAAACGAGGAGGAAAGCTGAAGGCCAAGGAGAAGCAGATGACACTGGTCAGTATGCAGAGGATTGTTCTCAGAGAAATGAAGGGCATGAAGTAGAAGCCGAACCTCCTGGTATCAATCCAGATCAAAGTTATTTAAACAATGTGCAAGGGAAATTTATTGATTTTTCGTACGACAAATCGGCATTTTGGTGTGCTCATCACAAGCTCGCCATTGCCGTGTCTGCTCTTGCTCCTATTTACGAAGTAGCTAGAAAAGAATTTCTTGCAAACAGAAAAGCACATGCACAATGCCTGACTGGTACAAGGAACTCTGTCATGTCTCCATCTTCCCTCAGCTTCCAACTTTTAGAAGGTGGCTTGTGCAACCGTTCCGCAAATAGTCGCGCAAATGGTAATGGAAACGTGCAGTTCCAAGGACAAAATGGAGCTGTCCATGCCCTATTGCAGAAGAATCTCATGCTGTATTCAAGAGTGTTAGTAATTGTGAACTGTGACTTCGCAAGCGCTTGGAATGCTAGGTAAACTCCCTTCAATGGCCACAGCGTTCATGTATTTAGGTAAAATGGACTAACAGCCTCAATAAATTTGTGGTCTATTTTCACACATGTACCATGTTAAGTGATTGCGTAGTAATTTTTGGTATATAGTTGCCGAAGTTGTGCGTCAAATTCGTTTAACTGAGATGGATTAGGTTTCTCGATTGGACAGATACCTTAAGACCACAATTCACATTACTTCTTCTGCGCAGAAAACGCGTATTGTCGAGAATGGAGGCAACCGAGGAATTTCTTTTGGCCGAGCTTCGTTTAGCAAGGATGGTGTTAGCCTATGGTCCAAAGAGCGAGGAGTCGTGGGCTTACAGGTTTGTTTCTACTCCGTACAAGTTCTAGGATCTTGTCGGTGGATTTGAGCCATTTTTGGGCCAGTTATACTTCCAAAATATAGATAGTCGAAAATGGAGTCATCATTAAATGTTTATAATCCTGAAATTGTAAGTACGCTTATACGATATGTTAGAAACGCACGTTCGCTTTGACTATTGATGCTATACTCAAAGAATTTCCTTTAGTCTCCTCATCGAGATCCCTTTTCATAAGCGCGGAGCAGTTTTCAGCTTCTTGACGTTGCAGCTGTTATCACATCTTGAACAGGCGGTGGATTATCGATCGAATGATTTCCGCTGGACTTCCATGGAATACTGTAGGCTCAGTCCTAGAAGGCGACTCAATGCTCGTGGAAGCCATTGCTGGGGTATTTGTTTCTTTTTTCTCTACTATATCATTTGCTACGCCTTGAACAAGTTGAGAAGTATTTTAAATCGTCTAATCCTTCATGGCTTGCCTGAATGTGAACAATGTAGCATAATGGCTTACAATCCTGTATTCTGTCGCTATCCCTCGAGTCTAAGTACGATTCCTGTTCTTCATTACAGCACTAATTAGTTAATATACACTGACCGTGTATGAAGAAGAAAGCAGTTTTGAAGTCACAAGAGATGAATCAATTTTTCGACAAAATATTCCAATGTCTAGCGATTGCGACGTTGTTTGTAACTTGGATTCAAAGAGACGATCTAATAGGACGATCTTCCAAATTTCTCATTTTAAATTCTACTCCTTCACTTTGTAAATCGAACGTTAAGTAGCTGTTTGCTCATGTTACAGAGGTCGAGGATGAACTATCGGGCTTGGCGCCATCGCTATTGGCTTGTCTCACGCATGTCACTTCAGCAGGTTGAATTTTGTGCTTTTTATCACAGATGACTATGTGGTCCCTCCTTTCTTTTTAGAATTAATGTTGCCTGTGATTCCACAAAAAAGCTCAAGCTAGCATGACGACAGTATTTGAATTTCCCTGTCCAGCAATAATTTCTGTGATTGTTTTTACTATCTGTGATGCAGGTAGCATCAGAGTTACAAAACACAAAGAGATTGGCGCAACTACATGTAGCTGACAACTGCTGCTTCCATTATCGACGAGTACTTTTTTTTAATCTTCTTGTCGCTATTTTTGTTAGTTCTATTTAATTGTCTCAGAGAGTATGATCGTTTTGACGCAGGAAATTTGTAAGAACCGTATGGATTAATTCAGTGTTCTTAAAAAGATTCGGGCGAATTAAATTTTTGTGCTCTTAATCCAAATGTAAGAAATTTTATTATGTTCTTTTGTAAACAGAAGATAATTACAGTGAACTCATTTCAGAGTAAACTCCATGGAGAGATTCCAGCTCCTTAACATGAACTCTGATTCTCATTACTTCCCGTGTAGTCCTTAACTGTGATGCTTACTGGATGGGTGATTGTGGTTCTAGTGTCTACTTTTAGGTATACTTCAAGCTGGATTGATGCCAAATGAAAAGAATGTGAACAGTCCAACTCTGGTCGCTTCCAGAGCACAGGCTGGCTTATCTGCTGCTTTGATTGTGAACCCGCAGCTTTTGACTACATTATGGAAGGTATTTACATCTATTCGTTAGTCTTATGAGTAGATGTCTTCAGCTAATCTTAAAATGAAGTCGTGCACTATAGGTGAATTCCAAAATTTGACAGCCAGGAGCCAGCAGTAACGTGCATTATTGATTACCAAGAAACAAGTGTTTACACTCGATGGTGTCTAGGATCCGATTTGAACCTGTTGTACGGGACTAATCATCTGACCTTTTGGGCTGAACATGTGTTATCTGCAGGATGAACTATCTTGGAACAGGGATCTGATTAAACAATTTTTTGGTTTTGAGGTACAGTTCCGTTCTCTTCAGCTTTTTTGTTTTAATTTTAAATAACTTACTGCTCTGTGATAAATATGTGCAATTGCGCACCTTTTCCAAAAGGCGTAGTGGTGGAACTCATAACTTGTGTAAGCGTTGTATTAATTCGTTGCAACTTATCTGTACTTATAGGCTTTATGGCTACATCGGCGGTTTTTGATCTGGGGTTTTGGTCACAACTCAAAGATCTTCAAGTCAGCCTCCCTCCCAGTTGTATTAAATAATAATGGCAGTACAACTCCACTCTCTGAGGGGGGGGGGATTTTTTCAAAAAGCAGCTCGCATTGCTGAGAGAGAGCTTCAGTTCGCTGATGCCTGTATTTCTGCATGCTGTCTAGACACTTCGGACGATGCATGTAGGCAGCGAGAATTTGCAGCTGCCTACAAGCTCTGGGTACTTTTGCTGGTTAGTGTACAGATCTCCGTACTTGTTAGATCTAAAAGATGCTTAATGAAGTTATTGTGTGTCACGTAACTTTCGACCATACATATTCTTTGTTCCAATTTCCTTGATTTGAAGTGAAAAAAGCCAGTCTTCTTCTCATATTTTCTATTTTTAACATAATCTATTTTCAAGGTGTAAGACAGTTGTGTTAATCATGCGACTGGATGTCGAAATGCAGCACGTAGGAGGAAAAGAGGATGGAACGAACGGACTTTCAAATGGTAGGTTGTTGGAGCTGAACAATCTGGAGCTCTTGCTGAAGGATGTGAGTCCACATCGTGATTGCCTATGGAATGGTCTGATTCCGAACCTAGTCTGAGTCCCTGTTCTTCGTAGGCCAGTTCAGCATCAAAAGATGTGACTCCTACTCTAGCTTTATGAACGTCCATCATCTATTACTACCATTGTCAATTAAGGGCATTCATTAAAAAAAACTCTGCTGTCATGGTTAATCATGACGGAAACCAGCAAAAATATATCTTTCAGTGCATTCTATACTGTAGTTCTAATTAGCTGTAGTGATTGTAGAAGTCTTATAATAGCGGATCCTTGTTTTATTCAAAGCGTAGATAGTACTGTTATCGCAAATTTTTGTCTGTCATCGGTTGTTTATGAGCTAAAGCAAGCTTGGAAATCGTACCGAGTTTCATCGACATGTTATCCAACAGTTATTTTTCTGAGTTTTCTTTCAACACTCAGTTGTGAGGTAGTTGGTGCGTGGAGGGTCGCTATATTTAACCCCTAATTATTACAGGGACACAGTATCTTTTGCAGACACGGCACAGAATGCAATTCGCCGGCATGTTTTTGCCATGATCTTACCTGTGATGACTTTTTGCAGAATTCCCTCATCTCATATTTCATGAGTGAGAATCTCACTAGCACCCATGTGAACCAGGGAAAAACTAATTGCAACCTCTGTTATTGTTAATGATTTTCTGTAAAGCCTGGTAGGCCGTAACTGGGTTAATGGTGGCATCTCATTTTCAGCAGAGGGTGTCAGGTTCGATTCTTGTCCCTTCGACAACAGAGTTCAGTATGTCTTGTAGCGTCTCTGAAGTGGTCTGATCCAACAGACTCATCAACTCCCAACCATCCAAGTTTGTCAGTCTTCTTAAGGATTATTGCCAAGGTTACTGAACTTAAGCATCCAGGTTTCAAGTCGCTGTGGTTGCGGAATGGTGTCAGCTTTTGGATGGTTGCATCAAGGAAACTTATAGTTATGAACTTATTTCTTCTTTTGATCAGTCCCCTGCTTATCCCTCGGGCATGTGAATAGTTGGGTAAAAAGAATTAATTGAAAATTGGGTTTTTTTTTTTTTTTTTTTTTTTTTTTTGACATGTAGTAACTCCATTGCTTGTATTAATGTAAATAATGTAAAATGCATTCTATCATTGTCTTGCAACTGATTCTGTAGGTAGAAAATAGAGTACTAGGATGCATTATGTTATTTACTTTATGTTGGTTACTTCATGCATTATATTGGTTACTTCACTATGGATTATGAATGTAGGTTAGGTATAGAGTGCATTATCATGCTTTTTAGAGTGAATTTATCTTGTTTAATTATATTATCTTTCTTATATTTTAGTGTATTTTTTGTCATTCATGTTCTATTTCATTTATTTAAAAAATTGGAATTAAATTCTAGTTGTTATTTCGTTTTATTTTGTATAGTTCTTTATAGAATTTTTTATATTCAATAGTATTTGTGTATATCATCTTTGTAACTTGAAACTCATTTTATATTTCATTTTGAGATATTTGTGCATTCTGTTGAATAAAGATATGTCACATACAGTCTTGTTAGAAGGGGCCAAATCAAATTGAGCTATTTAAATTGAATCAAAAGAGAAGTTGCAAAAAACAAATTAGGCTTTTAAAAAAGATTTCTATTGCTTGTAACTTCTATATTCAAAGACCATCTTACATGTAAAAGAAGTTGTCTAGTTGCAAATTCTATCAATATATCTTAATTGATAGATTTAATAAAAGAAAATTTTAATGTTATTAAAATAAGAAAATATTAAGTTATAGAATTTATTACATTTTTTTAGTATAAAGAATAATTTAGAAGGTTTTGTAAGTAACAAGACTCTTGTTAAATAAATAAATATATATATATATATATATATATATATATATATTAGAACTTAGTAATTTTTTGAAGCACTTTTTATGATTGGTTTGATATATTTATATTTAGTACTTCAAAATAATATCTAAAATAGTCTTTTATTTATAAATATTATTTATTAAAAATTTACAAATAATAATTAGTAGGTAGAAGAAGCATAAAAAAGAAAACTTATTTTTTTAATAAATTATGTAAAAAATAGAATTTATATCAGATTTGAATTAAAATTTACTATAAATAATTACCATGGTGTGGTAAAGTAGTCCTAATTTTAATTTTAAAATATTATAAAATTATAAAGATTTTATTTAGAATGTATTAATAACTTTTAGAATATATCTTAAAAAATTCACAAAAACAATGAATCACTTTGAAGACCATTATGAAGAACTAGAATAAGATTTGAAATCCAAATTAGGTTTTGGGATTATTTGGATATATATAATCACCATGGTAAAGTCAAAAAATTTCAAAACATTCTTTTATTAAAAAAAAAATAGGTTAAGAGGTTAATGTTAAGAAAGTGAGTATATATGTTCAAAATGGATTGTGGCACTTTGGAATTAATTAGGAGGATAAAATTAAGGACTTGGGGCTCCTTTAGGACATTCTATACAATATTTATGAGCTTCAATGAGTTTCAAACTCTTAATCACATAATTGAATTTTCTTTGAAGTAAATCCTCATTGCTTACCTTGCCTATTTTTTACTTTCCATCTTCAATTTTATATAGTGATTCTAATTTTTTAAACATCAAAACCATAAAAAAATTAACTATCTATTTTTATTTTTACCATTTATTAAGTAAAAATCTAATAAATATATCATACTTAATTTTAGACCATATGAATTCTTTTATTATTTTTTTACTTATTTTTATTTATTTATCTTTTTTTTTATTGTGCTAATTAAATCTCATAATTAATTTAAATTAAATCTTAATTAAATCTACCTTGTAATTTATATTGAAAGATGGATTTTACCTTCATACCAATCTAATTCAATTCTAGCTTGATAATAATCTTAAAAACTATGCATTATAGATTTGGAGATTAATTGCTTATATTATAGATTTAGGAATTTATATCCTTATATTTAAATTTTCTAAAAAAAATATTGGCAATTATTTTTAATATTAAAAATAAGAAGGTTTATAAGTATATTTGAACAAATTTTATAGAGAAAAGTAGTATCAAATACAATTGTTGACTAAATGGCTAAAAGATGTAGTTATTGTGTTTTTTTAAAAAATACTCTATTATTGATTAGATGCAGTATCTCCTTCTTTTGGTACAAAATACGAACACCCTAATAAGACAATTGATCAATGTTTTTATTTTTTCACATGATATGTAATATCAAATACAAATTGTAGCAATATTATGCTCTAATAAAAATAAGCTTAGTAACATATTAAAATACAAGTTGATGCAAAATATTGAAGATTATTTTTATTAATATAAACTATAATTTGATTAATAACACCTTATAGAAAATATTGTCATTTTAAGAATAAAACTATGATACAAAGAAATTCTTTGTCATATATCTTTACAAAAGTATAATTTATCCCAATCTAAATCCCAATTACTATGAATAAATTATAATAATTTAAAAATAGAAAAAATTAGATAATTAAATTTTATTTCAAAGATAGCTTAATTAAGTGGTCAAAGGTTTGAACCTCACAAAGATTCATAAATGGTGTGTAGGATGTCTTAAAAGAGCCACAAGGCCTAATTCTTATCCTTCTACTTACATCCAAGATGCAACAACATATATGGAACATATGCATCTCTCTTCTTATAATTATTATTCTTATTATTGATCATCTTATTATCTATTAATAATATGTGTGTATATATATATATATATATATATATATATATATATATATGTATTTTTTTAATTTTTAATTTATAATTGGTACTTGAAAAAATCCTCAATTAACTCAAGAATCTTGTGGTTCTTGAATTATAATGGCCTTCTAATGTTGTAAAATCATTTTTATCAAGATCTTTAAAATATGTTCTAAAATTTTCTAAAATATTTTGAATAAATTCTAAATAAATTCTAATAATATCCTACTAATTCTAAAATACTAACATTATTTTTTTTCTAATTTATTAAACTTTATTAATTTTTTATAGTAGTAAAATAAATTTAAATCTACTAAAAATATTATTTTAAAAAATAATTAAGCAAACAATCTGTTTTTTTTTTAATTTCTTGTATCTATTAATAAATATTTATAATTTAAAAAATATATATTATTTATGGATAGAAGACCAATTTAGACATTGATCTTAGTAACTAGACATAAATTATTAAAATTATAAGAAAACAATTAAGATAATAGACTCCAAAATTTATTAAAATTTTATTTTTATAATTTTTTTATTAAAGATATTATTGTAACTCATAAGAATTTTAAATTTCCAATGAATACTTGAATAATCAAATTAAATTTCAAATCTTAAGATTTTCTTATCTAAACATCATTAAAAAAAAATGATAATAATTAACATGAACAGGTGGAACTTACAATCTCATAGTTAATATTAGCTATTGAGAATTTTCTTTAATAAAGAGCAATAAGATGAAGCCTATTATTTGTGTCCATTCATGAGAATTTTTTTTAAAAAATATTATTTTTTTAAATAAATTAGTTCAGCAATTATTGAATGAAGATAGATTACAATATTCAGATTTTACAATGTAATTTTTTTTTGAATGAATTATTTGATTTAATAGACTTATTGAAAGAAAGATCAATAGATAGAAAGTAAAATTAATATAAACAAGAAAAATTGATTAAATAAACTCTAATCAAAAAAATTACTATTCTAATTTTAAAAATTGATATTCTAATTTTAAAAATTGATAATTATTGTGAATGTTTTAGAGAATGAGAGACAATAGTAGCTAGAAGTAATATGCACATATGTGTAAACACACACACACACACACACATACATACACACAAGAAGTGAGTTTATTGATAGGATTATCTCCTCTATATAAAGAGAAGGGAAGAAGATAAATAATGTCTCTCCACTACATTCCAAACAATGTAGCTACAGTAAATGCTATAGACTATAGTAAATAGCATGGAGAGTGCTGGCTATATTTAATGCTCTTAATACTCTTCTTCACTCGTCATAATATTTATATGTATAGAATTGTGATCTATACTTTTTTGTAATCTCGTAATATCAATAACTATTGTCTTATTAAAACCTTATCTAGAAAAACCTTATTATAATTAACAATAAAACCATAGATGAAAGAAAAAGAGTACAATATTATCTCAAGAATTCATTAACTTTCTTGCTCTGGAAAAGCAAGTCTCCACATGCCAATATTATAAGTAAGTTGGCAATGGTTGCACAAAGGGAGAGCTTTGGTGAAGAGATCAGCAATGTTATTTGCAAATTCAATTTTCTTGATCTTAAGTACTTGATCAGTAATCAAGTCATGGATATAATTAAAATACTTTGGATCAATATGCTTTGTCCTGTCCCCTTTAATGAAACCAATTTGTAATTGTACA